GACAAGTCTCGACGTCTCGGAAAAGAGGGCAGCTTATAAGCAATTCAATAAACACTTAGTGTGCATGAGAGAAAAGCGAGGAAGGAGAAAACAAGGACTTTAGACGGCAAAAGAACAGTCGCAAATCGACAAACGACCACTCATCGGGTTATGAGCGTGTAGGTCAGTTCTCATAGGCTTCACGTGCGAGCTTGTGAATCCAAACAACATCATAGTGCCATGGGTTACAACAAGATGTTCAATGTACACAAGGTGAATCTAACAATTGGCAAGTCTGTGCACGAGATGTTAAATGTAATGTTTCTATATATCCGTGTCTGCACAGTTGTCACAGTGCCATGAGTTACAACGTAGCAATCCATTGCAAAAATAGGTTAAAATGATAAACCTTTGGGAGCTTGTTAGTATGTCAAGTGCTACCACTTTTGATGTGGACTTGTTTGCTAGCTTCATATCCAACAATTGATGAGAAGGAATTGGAAATAGATAATGGAATGTTGCTGTTGCCTCAGAAAATAAAAGGAGAAAAGATTGACCACCTCAGATGTTCCAATAAGAGGGTGCACCTGATTGAGGGATGCAAGATATGTTCTCTCTATCTGATTAGCTGCTAACGATGGTGGTTGTTTACGACCTTGTGTCATATCCTTGTGCACTATAATAGAAACACAAACCAATATACGTTGTCCACGCTCATGCAGCCAAGGTGCATGGAAAGATTTGTATTACAATTGTTCTTCCGAAACCACCTTTGATTTTTTTTTTTCTATGATCACTATTCTAGATTCTGTCAAAAATTTGAACTAAAGAGGATCTTTACTTTTGCAAGAATTTGATCAGGGACAGTACTCTGAGGATTTCTTTCTAGTTGTTTTCTTTTTTGGACAACCCTCATGGTGGGGGCTGAGCAAATTTTTTGTCGCTCTTTGTTGTTGGTATTTGTGTTATGATCTCAAAAAGCAAACTAAGAATCATAAATTATTGACAGTGTTAAATATTGTTGTGAAATGTCTGATAGTATTTTCTGGCTGGAATTTGTTTCCTTTTGTTTTTCTAATGCTATCTGGATGTTTCTAAGCTCACACTATAACATCCTCTTCGTAATAAGCTTTTTCCTCATTATTTAGTTGTTGCAATATGTATTTCTTGCTTTCTCATCTTCATCGTAGACCTAAAGTTCATGCAATAAAATTCCTGATCTCAAGCAGCAATCTAAGGTATTCTATGAACTAGGTGAATACTGATGCAAAACTGTGCTTGCTTTGACTATATTTAAAGTATTGTTTGTATGCTTGTATATACACCTGCTAGTGGATGCTAGGCGTAAATCTATTATCTTATCGAAAAACTTTCATTTCAGTCCACTGTTTGTTACATGGAAGAAAGCAGTCAATGGAGCAGAACCTCGTCTGCGTGGGTGTATTGGAACTTTGGAAGCCCGTTGCATAGTCAACGGCTTTAAAGATTATGCATTAACAAGGTATTTTCTGCTGCATGTTCTATGTTAAGTTAATGTATCAGCTCCATTGGAAGGACTAGAACCTTTATGATTCTGATGAAAATTAGAATCTGACTAGGATATATGATGAAACTAGTTAAGAAATGATCGCATTGAACAGGTGGTTTTTAGAATGTAGATATGGATGAATATCTTGATCACATCATCTAGGCCACTGTCTGTCTTTTGTATTCTGTTATGCATTACTTTTAACATACTTCATCTGTAAGTTCATGATTTGATGGAAAGTAGATTGGTTGATGCTTAACAGTGGCTTGGTTGATGCTTCTCATATGCATCAACAGTGGCTTAGATGATACTTCTGATATGCATTACTTTTAACATGCTTCATCCGTGACACGTTGTCATACATTGTTTTTTTTTATCTTTCATTCAATCTGTCAAAGAAACGATGCATGTGCTTTGTGGTCTCTGACAAAACAACAATTTTGCACTGTCATAGAAGAGTAGTGTTGGTATGAAACTTATATTATTGCATCCATCTTCTGCGATTGGCCATGACATTGTTAGATCTAGTGGCTAATGATTCTTCATCTTTTCGCAGCGCTCTGAGGGACCGCCGATTTCCTCCAATACAGGCTAAAGAATTGCCTTATTTGGAATGTACAGTATCTATTCTAACTGACTATGAACCTGCTCTTAATTACCTTGATTGGGAGGTTCGTTAATTCACATTCTTTCAATTTTTTTAAAAGAATTTTGGCATTATTTGTTAATTTATATGTGTTAATTGTCTTTCCAGCTAATGATCCCATCTTCATGTCAATGCTCATTTTAAGTAGTTGATTCTAGTTCTAGAGCTTTCTATTGTTGAAATGAGTGATTATTCTTGCAGATTGGAAAGCATGGCTTGATCATCGAATTTACTGACCCTGATTACAACACGAGGCGTAGTGCGACATACTTGCCTGAGGTTGCTGCCCATGAAGGTTTGTACCTTATCAGCTACTCCCGGTTTCCCTTGTATTCAGTCCTTTGTACTGTTTTTGAAAAGAAGTGCTAAAGAGCATGTCGATATAAATGGTGAAAACTTCTGAATAATATCCAAGCCATTAAGGTTCCAGTTTTATTATTTGAGGGTTTATTTCTCATGGTTTTTCGGCCCAGCGTTATTGAAGTTTTATCCTAAGTGAACTTGTAACCTAGAAATTGTGATAAATGACCATGATCCCATGTTGGCATGTAGGATTCCAGAAAGTAAAAAATTGCTTCCGATCCGTTTCTGCAATTGATGTGGAGGGCTAACTCTGGACATAGAGAACCACCACAGTATAATATGTTTCTACAATCCTTGTTCTATGACCATGTCACTGATGCCATTTCTCCCTCATGTTTTTTAATGGGATAGGTTGGACTAAGACGGAAGCCATCGATTCACTCATGAGGAAAGCAGGTTTCAACGGTGTTATAAGTGAGTCACTTCGCAACCGACTTCGCGCTACCCGCTACCAGTCCACCCTTTACACCATGCACTACAGAGACTATGCCTCTTATGTCAAGATGACCAGGGGTATTGGCCCTTTAGTTAATGGGGCCAAACCCGTCCATTGATTCGCCAGCAAAAATTCATTGCTGGATCTGTGAAGGTACAGTTAAAACTTGATTTAGTGGCAGCTGGGTTGAATTACCCTCCTGCTTATTTATGATGCATTCCGAGATTCAAGGGAAAGATAAATCTGTAAGTGACCCTAATCGCTGCATGTTAAAAACTTTAAACATGACTTTTGATGCAAGCTGCAAACAGTACAATGTATTGGATTAATGCCTCATTTGCTTCCAGACCCCAGGATGTGTTTGTTCCTTTTGTGGTTGTGTACTGGAGCTGGATGTTGCGATGCATTGCAGGTACAAGGTTCTTCCAACTCCATTGCTAATGGGGTATCGTTTTATCTGAGCAGATAATATATTGATCATCTCTGGAGGAGCTGCACCCCTTTTTCTAAATACAGAAGGTGAACAACATGACATGTAATTTACTCGATAAACATCTTGATCTAGTTGTTAGCTCGAGTTGCATGTAACTGACCTGCTTTACTCCATCCTATTTGGTTTCCAGATGATCACTCGTAATGAGATAGAAGGACTGTACGAGAGTTGACCTTGTGAAAGCATCGTGAAAGACGGGCAACTTTAGGAGTTGAATGCTTGAACTGTTCCGGGAGAAGGGACAACCATTGCCTTTCTTTCTCTTCCCCATCCCATCAAATCACCGTCATCCACCTCGTGATCTCATTGGCTCCAGTGATAGGTAACCTCAAACCCCCTTTGTCACACACTGTTTGAGAAGCCCCTTATCACATGGCAAGCTGATGGCACAGCGCAGTCCATTGGTCCAAATAGTCTTTCCAACGAATGCTCGTACCAATATCAACGTCGTCTTCTTCCATCATCCTAATTTATAGAGTCAATCCCCGTGGGATCCTGCTTTAGTGCGCAGGTTGGTAGGGCACCGATTCAAAAGGACATTGTGGAATGCCGTCGTCGTGTTCGACCAAATCATGGCAAACCATGTCACATGATTTAGTGGGGTTAAATCCTCATATTTTGGATCCTCCACCACTCTACAGCAGTTTTTGATCTAAATATATACACGTAAAGTTCGACTTAATATGAAGTAAATAATATCTTTTCAACAATAAAAGAGTATGGATGGGTCTCAACATACAAAAAGGACATTCAGTAATTTTATTGCAATCAATGTTTCAAGTCAAACAATGAGGGAAAAAAAAAGGAAAAAAAGAAGAAAAGAAAGAAAGAGAACGATAGAAGGAGAAACAAAAAGTAAAAAGGGATGAAAACAATTCTTGTAGAGATCAGGAATGATATCGAGTCCATTAAGTTATCGTGTTTGGTATGCGGTTAATCCCGTACTTGAAATCGGGTTCGGATTTGACACATTGTCCATGCCCACTCCATGACCTCTCCTATACAATAATTTCACTTCTTAAAGGAATAAACATAAAATTATCACTTTATTGATGAAGATTAAGTGGAATACAGTATAT